ATAAAATAACAAATATATGTACAAATTACTTATTTATCGATAAAAACAAATTTGTAAAATATAAAAAATAATATTAATATTAATATTAATAATAATGATAAGAAAAGAAAAGAAAAGAAGTTGAAAAGAAGAGTTGGGGGAAAAAAACAACAAAGGGCTGAAAAATGGTAAAGAGATGTTAATGCGCTCATTTACACTAACGTTCAGCATGTCAACAGTTTGACAATTTGAGAGGAATTTCCGGGAAGAGGAAAAATTAATCAGTGACGTCGGGCCCTCTTTAATAAACACCCATGTCATGTCCTGGACGAATCTAATAACTCTTTTATTCCGATAACTTCTTGCTGTGTTTCATATTTCTCGTCACTAACACAATTATAAAAATAATAATAATGATTAAAGTCTGATAATGATCTTATAATCATATCACTATCAGACACCTTAGCCAACTCTAGTATTTTATATCTYTTTTTAAAATTTTCTTCGTTCGTTGCGTCATTTATTCTTCTTTACCTTTTTCACGTATTTTTCCCCAACTGTCCCATCCATTTTCTTCTTTTTTTACAAAACAATTGAGGAACCAAACCCAAAACCCAAACATCAACCAACGAATTTATTTTTCGCCACGTATAATTATTATAGTATTAGAGTGGAAGCGATTGTTTATAGTTTTGTTATGCTTTGTTTCTTTTTCAGCGCATTAACACAGTTGTGTTCAAAGCTGGGRAAAAAAAACACATTCAGTTTGAATGTACTACACTAATGCCTAAAAAGCAAGAACAACACAAATATTGGAATCTCATTTTTCGTAGAATTTAAGTAAAAACTTGAACGAATGAGTATCATATTCAAAGCTTTTAACACAGCATTCTTATTTATACAGCCGTTTTTGATATTTAACAAAATAAGACGACATATGTAAACATTTCATTTGTAAGAGTAAAATTGTGGAAACCCAACACATGTCATTACTATTGCCGAAAGAGATATTTCGGATTTGTAATTTATTTTTTGATGCAATATTTGCAGTTCAATGACTTTTCAACGTCGGTGAGTCACGTATTTAGAGTATAACGAAGTTCAATAGGTATACACCAACCATAGCGTTTGCAAAACTTGTACTTCATAGCGTCACTTAGTTTAAAAGAAAAGGCTACATCCCTAGTTTAGAAATCTACTAACTGATAAAGATAAAAGAGGCATTGGTTCCTTTAGACTGATCTTTAGTATTTTGTATCTCAGCAAATACGGAAGGTATGGACAAAAAAGGTTTTCCATGACTTGTTGTGGCTTCAGGATCGTTATATTAAGGATGTTTCCAGACGATGAACTGCAGCTCTACGCGAAAGAACTGGCCAACAGGAGCTTAGGAACAGTAGTGTTAGAGTCGCTTGTATGTGGTTTTCTTATCTTGGTAGCTTTCTTTGGTAATATGATAGTGTTGTGGATAATCTACAGATATCGAAATCTTCGAACAATCCCCAATCTTTTCGTTTTTTCATTGGCGTTGTCTGACGTCATTATGTCGGGTTTTTGCGCACCTATGTGTCTGGCTGCCTTAATCAAAGGTGAGAATATCTTTGGGGATGTGCTCTGTACAATACAAGGTTTTCTCATCTCAATCCTTGCAAGGGTGTCTCTTCAAACGATGGCACTCGTAGCTGTCAATCGGTTTTTCCTTATCGTGAAGCCAAGTCTCTACCGCAAGATCTATAAGCCGTGCTACACTAAAGCCATGATAATGGGTGCATGGATTCTTTCAGGGACCGAACCGCTTCCATACCTGACGATGGGAAAACAGTACTATTTCAACCCTGCAAAGGTGTTCTGTTTCCCTGATACTAGACTCCCATATGTGCTTATAGTAGGATACATTTATGTAGGCCTTCCCATGCCGGTCCTGGCATGGTGTTACTTCAAAGTCTTCCATTCCCTACGCCAACACACAAGACGTTTGCACCAAAGTCAATCAAGTAGCTTTCAGTCAAACGCTCAGAAAAGGGGGCCTTCAGTTGAGGAGATCAACGTCACATGGACCTTATTTCTTACGGTATGCGCCTTGATCTTTTGTTGGATACCAATAAGCGTGGTAGACCTTGTGGACTTTGCCCGTGGTACCTTGGCATCGCTTCCAAGACCGGTCTACATGATGTACTTATTCTTGGGGCAGTTATCTACTGCGGTGAATCCTATGATCTATGGTGTCATGAACAAGTCCTTTCGTGGGGCGTACAGAAAAATACTTTGCAGAAGAAGTAACGTTATTGAGGCGGTTAAGGTGACCGGTGCAGGTAGCACCCAAGCTCCATGTTAAACGATGGGAAACCATTGCAAGCAAGGCAGGAAGCATATTTTAAAAATGCAAAGCATAAAAATTACCAATAAATTGTTAACTTTCAATTTCATCAAACCCCGAAACAACTTCTGAGATGATCAAATTAAAATCATAGTAATAACTCAAACCCACTTCACAAGAAACAAACAGAAGAAACAGACTGAATAAAACTGCTAATTCACATGGGGGGGGG